CATATGCTACTTCAAACAAAAAAACTCCACACAATACACATCTTCTTCTTCCACACACCACTTCCATCTGCCGCCCACACCGCCGCCCCACCGTTGTCGCCACTACTGCAGCCGATCTCGCACGCCACACCGTTGCTCCAGCGCCATCGCCACTGCTACAGCTGCCGCTCCACTATTTCCTTCTTCTCGTCGCTACCGCTGCCGCTAGCTGTTGTCCCAACAGATTCGCCGTCACGTCGCGTCGCCGCAAGAGCCTCGCCGGACGTCGCCTTGCTTCGCCGACACGTCGCCAGCGTACAGTAATGTATATATATATATATATATATATATATATATATATATATATATATATATATATATATATAATCGTTTTTTTTATATATACTTTGAATTATTTGTTTATATATTTGGAATTTTATAATTATATTTCGAATTTATTATTGTATTCTGAATTTTATAAATTATTATTGTATATATATATATATATATATATATATATATATATATATATATATATATTGAAATTTTAGGAATAATTGTGTATATATTTATAATTTTATGAGTTATTGTGTATATTATGAATTGTTGTGCATATACTTCAAATTTTATGAAATATTGTGTATCATCCATCATCTATTTGGTTATATGTCGCCATAATCACATTGATAGACATATTTTACACTCTTATTTTAGGTACATCTTTATAATATTTTTGCATTAGTTATTTATAATTATTTAATATTATTTATTTTTCGAGTTTAAAAATTAATTAGTTAAATAAGTGTTTTATAATAATATTTAGTTAATAATGTGTTTTGAGCCCAACTCTTTAATTTTATTTAATATAATTTTTAAGTATTAGTGTTTGGCCAATTCTACACAAAGACAAAACAATTTAAACATTTAATTTAACATTTGTGGTTTGTTTATTTCCTATGACCCTACGTATAGAACGTGCGGCAAAGCAGTCATCAGAAACACTTCGTCAAATTGCTGCGAAGATTTCGACTTTGACCGGTGCCTCTTACAAAAGAATTCGTCGTGCAGCGAATAAGGAGGAAAATGCATAGTGGAAATTAGTTTGAAAATAATTTGGGAAGTGTATAAATAGTGGAAGATTTCTTTTGTTGAACGTTCATTCTTTTCCCTCTTAATTATCTTCTTTTCTTTAAAGTTGTTATCAATGTCCATGCTTGATTAATTTCTTTAGCTTGGTTAAGTGAATTGAATCCCCGGAATTGATTATGCTATGAGATTCTTTATTAATTCCAGCAAAGGTCCTCTGACTATTGTGATTTTCCAAATTTAGTCCTTGTCTTTTAATTTGGACAAATTAAACCCTTGACTATCAAAAATGTTCCTCCATTAGTCTTTCCGTGAAACTAACGTTATTTTGTTGTTTAAATTAGGGGTAAAACAGTCTTTTCATATGCTTAGTGTGTTCTTTCTCTTATTGGAAGCCGGTACTGTTCGGCGGCAGCTCTTGGAGGAGTTCGAAACCATGCTCAATCATGTTCTCAGCACCAAACAAACCGTTTCAGACAATCCCACTACATATTCTTACACCACTCGTAGCTATTCTCTTGGTCTCTACTTCGAAACTAATCCCACAAGCTTTGTCCTGGATGATCTCCGGTCCATTGCGCAGCGGCTAAGGTCGATGGGATGCCTCCGTGACTGCCAGGAAATCTACAGCGCCATTCGTGAGACATTTTTCGATGCCACTTTAACACGATTCGGCATTGTGAAGTTGAGCGCAATAATTGGACAGGATGATCAGGCTCTGGGTTAGAGCAGCTCCCTTCCATGTCCATCTCGATCATTACCATGGAAATCTATGCCTGCCAATCAATCTTTAAAGTCGAGAATGCCCCATTTCTAATGCAGATTGCAAGGGCTTATGTAACGCCTTTTATGGATTTTATCTCGGCGGTGGCCCGTGGTTGCCGTTCGTCAGAACGCCTGTTTGAGATACTGGATTTGCATGGCTGTTTAACGTTAATGTTGCCCGCTCTAGAGTTACTAAAATTGCCGGGAGCTAATGCTTTGATAAAGCAGGCGAAATAGATATTTTTGCGCTGGAAGAGGCGGCCAGTGAGACATTTCTGAGGTTTAAGAGAGCTGTGGTGGGGGACTTATCACGTGTGGCCAACGTGAGAGAGGGTGTTCATCACCTGACAACCTACGTAATGGACTACCTGACGAGAATGGTGTCGGGGTACGGTAAGTGCGAGTGGATAGTGGTGAGGAATATCGACGAAATCCTCGGGATTGGCGACACTTTCAGTGGCAAAACGCTGCATGTTCATCACTGCGGTGACCAGCCGCCGCTAGCCTCGCATATCAAACTGGTGATTGCTAATCTGCTGTGCATTCCTAAAACTCCATAGTTTCTCTTCTCACTAAGGTTTTTTCTCGTCATTTCTCCATTCTTCAACTTCCTGGAGTTCTTCTTCTTCCATTCTATTGCCGAAGAACCTCTTGTTGAATACCATCTTGCTTATGAAATTTCCACAATATTGCGCCGTGTGACAGTCCAGATGTTAACAACATGCATGCTGTCGGTACCGGAGATGTTGCACTGATTGTAGATATATTTAACGAGGTTATTGGCTTCTTCTACCCTTTTATCGTGAAGCCAGTGGAGGCTCGCCGGAGAAACCACGCGAGAGTGGAGAACTCTTTGCATTTTCGCCCATTGATCGCCGGTGGGGAGAAAGATGGATGAAAAGTATCCGTTTTTGATAAATCAAGGCGCTACTCAGCAGGAGTGGTCTCTGATGAACTTGGGGACTGTGTAATATTATTCAAACATTCAAAGGAAGGAAGAATTTGAGGAAGAAAACACTAAGCATAAGAGAAGACGGTTTTACCCCTAATGTAAATAGCAAAATAACGTTAGTTTCACGTAAGGACTAATGGGGGAACGTTTTTGATAGTCAAGGGTTTAATTCGTCCAAATTAAAAGACGAGGACTAAATTTGGAAAATCACAATAGCCGGGGGACCTTTACTGGAATTAAATCTATTGTTTTTTATGCATTTGAGTATTAAATATTTTTCTAAGTTATTTGAATAGTTTTATCATTTAATTGCTTGGGAGGCCTACTAGTTATTTATTTGATATAATTATTTTCTATATTAGATAATATTGTGCTACAAATTATTCTAATATTTAGTAGCAAGTGAGGTTTATTATTGACAGTTTTAGTGATAATTGGTCTCAGGGAGAATATTTTTCTAAATTAAATGCAACCGCTTGTGCTTGTGTTATTTAGTTTGTTAGTTTTCCTAGTTCCTATTGCTGCTATTAAATTAAATTTATAGCGACTTATCGTAGTTGGTAGTTGACCCATTTGTCTTTCCAAGTTTTGAATACTAGCCTTTGTTTCTTGAATACTAGATCTTGTCTCTTGTTGGAATAGTTGTGTTTCTTGTTGAAACTGCAAAGTGTTAGTACCAAGAGATTTAACAATATCTTCTAGATTCATACCTGAGCTAGAGCTTTGGGCTGGCTGTTGTCTTGAAGGACAATTCTGAACAAACTGGTTCCCTTGTGAGTTCCCATAGCTAAGGTTCGGGTGATCCCTCCATCCATGATTATATTTATTAGAAAACGGATCATACTTACCTTGAGGTTGTCCAGGAAAACCCCCAGCCATGTTGACTTTTTCAATAGGTTCTTCTTGAGGAGTTGGGCATGCATCAGTTTGGTGCCCAACTACCGAGCAAATTCCACATGCTTTTACAGTTTGCATATTGCTTACAGCTAATTGACGAACAAGAGTAGTGATGGGGTGAGAACCCCAGCCCAAGAAAGGTTGGCCCAAGAAGGGAATCCAAGACAAGGAACGTGGGCTGGCCGTGGAAGAAGCCCAGTGAAAGCTTGGGCCGAGTCCAGGAGTCGGCCCAGGCCCAAGTCCATGAAGAGACGGCTCAGAGCCATTAAGCGAGCATTGAGAGGCCTCATTTAAAAAGACCCGGCCCGGGAGCCGTTGGAGGCATTCAAGGCAAGACTCGGTCAGACTGTTACGGATTCAAGGAGCCGTTAGTCGATCCGGTAACGGCACACAACGGCTCGGTGGTTGTAATTAGCCTTGAAGTTAGCCATTAATGACCTTCAAGTCGGCAGGAGGGGAGCCTGCTATATAAAGGCTCCTCCACCCTTACAATTGGGACAAATTGATCCCAGGAGAAAAGAGAGACACACTTGAAGCCATTAGAAATACTTCCATTTCTTTTACAACCTTGTGTGAAAGGTGAATCCACCAACTAAGGTTGTGCTGGACCTCCCTGGGCCCGAAAACCCAAAAACCAACACTAGCGCCGTCTGTGGGGATCGATACAAAGGGCTACGTGACTCTCTGAGCAGGGAGAGTCCCGAAGTCGAACGGAAAAGCGTCTTAAACATGTCGGAAAGACTAGACCAAGCAAACAACCGGAACAACGGGATAGAGGCAGATCTAAGAAACCAGCTGAACCAACGAAATGCTCAAAGTCAAGGAAATGAAACGGCACAGGTGAACCGGCAGCCGCCTATGATACCCCTCACCCGGAACAACTCCACGCGATCGGACGAGCCTTCGCCGACGCGAGTCGAGGGGTGAGGGAACAGTCGGTTTCTCGGCCGATGCCTCGCCATCAACAACTGTCCCAGAGGCCGGAAGACGGACAGGAAAATCAACGGGCAGAGAGCCAGCTAGTGCGATCAGTCCACTCAAGGCTGGGTCCGAATGCTGGGCGGCAGCCTGCACGAGAACGACTAGGAGAAAGGGAGCCCAGCCGCGCACCAGCAGGACCCCGAAACCGGGAGACCGGTCGGGAAAGAGCTCGCACCCGGAGAACGAAAACTCGAACGCGACAGACCGAGCGCATAACGTGCCAAGATGCCAACCGGCCGAATCAGAAGTCGGCGAAAGCACAGAGTCCACCGGAAACCACACTCACAATGAAGGCGACGTGGCCCAGTTGGCCCGAGAGGTACGAGACCTGAGAAAATAAATGGGGGGAAAGACCAAATCCCCTGGGCAGACGTTGCTCACAGCTTTGCCATTCTCTTCCGAGATCATGTCCTACAAAGTACCCGGCGACTTTAAATTTCCTGAACAAGCCACCTTCGATGGATCCGGAGATCCGCGCGAACATTTGCTTAGTTATCAAGCCAAAATGCAGGTCTTGGGAGTTCGAGACCCAGTGATGTGCCGCGCCTTCTTGCCCACGCTGAAAGGCTCGGCACAAAGGTGGTTAGTGGCACTGCCTCCCAAGTCAATTCACAGTTTCGAGGAGCTAGCCGACCGCTTCATGAGCCACTACGCGGCCAGCATTAAGCCCCTGAAGGATCTGACTCACCTAGGAGACATTCACCAAGAAGAAGGCGAATCTCTGAAGACCTATCTAGCTCGCTGGCAGAAAGTAATCCAATCCATTGAGGAAGTTGAGGACCAGACTACTTTCACCTTCTTCATCGAGTCTTTGCGGTCCGGTCAGCTATACCGAGATCTGCAGGACAACCGCCCGGCCACCTACGCGGAAGCCATACACATGGCCAGCAAGAGGGCCAACACGGAACAGGCTATGATGCACAAACGACAACGCGAGGTCGGAGGATCCGCCGGTGGGAAGAGGACGCGAGCCGAAACAAAGGAAAGGCGCTCGGAAGTGGCCCGACGACCCGATGCCAGACGGCCATACGACAGGCCCGTCGTACACCCCTCTCGGCCGGTTCCCGAACGGCCAGTGCACAAAATACAAGCAGTCGCTCCACCTCCGCCTCCGCCGATTGACGACCACGCGGTAAGCGATGAGGCAGGTAAGACCTCTAAATACTGTCGTTACCACAAATCCTACACTCACAGCACGGAAGAGTGGTTCTATTTGAAGAAGATCATGGAAGGTATCATCCAGCAAGGGACCCCGCCTCCTAATCAGTGGAGGCGGAGGTCGGCCACTCGGGGGGACGGGGATCCCACCGCCGCTGCGGAGAGCAGTCGGGGCAAGTAGCCGGCTTCTGAGGAAGGCGAGGCTCAGTGGCGTCAGAAGCCGGTTATCAACATGATAGTCGGCGGGCCGGAAGGTGGTGACTCAGCGAATACTCGAAAGGCCTGGGCTCGACAGCTGTATGTCGGGACGGTGTACGGGCGTGAGGAGAACTCTAAGAAGGTGTGCCGAGAGCCCATTACTTTCACTGATAGAGATTTGCCTGTGGGAGAGACGCCGCATCGAGATGCGCTGGTTATAGCGATGGACATCAAGGGGGTAGTCGTTCGTCGGATCCTGGTTGACACTGGGAGCAGCGTCAACGTGCTATACTTCGAGACTTTCACCAAAATGGGATTGACCCGAGAACAGCTGAACCCCGTCAAAACGCCACTCGCCGGTTTCACAGGAGACTCGGTGGAGGCAGAAGGATCCATCACTCTACCAGTTGAGATTGACAGTTATCCCGACGTACAGAAACTCAATATGAAGTTCATCGTAGTGAATCTAGCCTGCTCACACAACGCTATACTCGGCCGACCAGGTCTGGAGGATCTAGGAGCTCTGATTTCAATCGAGCATCTCTGCCTGAAATTCCGCACACCAAGTGGGGTAGGCACAGTGCGTTGCGACAGGAGAATCGCCCGCGACTGCTACCTACAGCCCTGCAGAGGAATGGGCAAGCGTGAGATGCAGGTCCATGTGATCACGGAAAGACCCCCAAAGAAGACGATGATACCTCGCCCTGAGCCGGCTGTGGAATTGGAAGAAGTCGAGATCGATCCCGATCAGCTGGATAGGTGGGTCCGAATTGGAGTCGGCCTCCTTGAGGAAGTACGAGAAGAGGTCATTAGAGTGCTCCGAGAGCACCAGCTAGTTTTTTCCTGGGGACCGGAGGACATGCCCAGTGTCGACCGATCCATTATTGCTCATCGACTCGCCGTAGATCCCGGCCATCGGCCGGTTGTGCAGAAGAAACGATATCTCGCCAATGATGGGAGGGAGTTTGTAAAGAAGGAGGCGAGCACGCTGTTGGCTGCGGGCAACATTCGAGAGGTTAAATACCTAGAATGGTTGGCAAACGTAGTTCTCGTACCCAAGCCCCCGGCCTGGCGGATGTGCGTTGACTACACAGACCTCATTAAAGCTTGCCCAAAAGACCCGTTTCCCTTGCCTCAGATCGACCAGCTAGTTGACGAAACCGCCGGGTCGGCCCTGTCAAACTTCATGGACGCCTTGAGAGGGTACCATCAAATTTTCATGCATCTTGCAGACGAGGAGAAGACCGCATTCCTGACGCCGGATGGAGTGTATTGTTATCGAGTCATGCCCTTCGGATTCAAGAATGCCGGAGCTACTTATACCGGATGGTGGCCCGGCTATTCCAATATCTGTTGGGAAAATCCATGGCCGCATATGTGGACGACATGCTCGTCAAAAGCCGAGAGGAGGACGAGCATGCGAGAGATCTGACCGCTGCTTCCAAGTAATGATAAGGTATAACCTCCGGCTGAATCCTAAGAAATGTGCCTTCGCAGTGCAACGCGGAAAGTTCTTAGGATATATGGTTACCAAACGAGGCATTGAGCCTAACCCCGAGAAGGTCCAAGCTATCATCGACATGCAGCCTCCCAGTACTGTCAAAGACCTACAGCGGTTAACTGGTCGATTGGCTGCCCTCAATCGCTTCCTGAGCAAGGCGGCGGATAAAACTATACCTTTCTTCGAAGCCATGAAGAAGAAGGAAGGCTTCGCCTGGACAGCCGAGTGCCAGCAGTCGTTCGAGGAATTGAAGCGGTACCTTTCTACGCCTCCCGTATTGTCCACCCCCTGGTGGGTGAGCCTCTGTTTTTATACTTGGCCGCTTCCCCGAAGGCGGTGAGCTCGGTGCTGGTCCGAGAAGAGGAACGTGCCCAGCACCCGGTATATTATGTGAGCCGCTCCTTGAAAGCCGCCAAAACACGGTACACGGCCTTAGAAAAGATAGTTTATGCGCTGGTGATCAGCGTGCGCAAGTTAGCGCCCTATTTCCAAGCCCACACTGTCCGAGTGCTGACTGATCAACCGTTGGGGAGCGTCTTGCGGAACCCCTCGTCGTCCGGTCGCCTGGTGAAGTGGGCCGTGGAATTAACCCAGTACGGGATTGAGTATCAGCCACGGCCATCCATAAAAGGCCAAGCCTTGGCCGACTTCTTGGTCGAGTGCACGGCAGGCGAAGAAAAAAAAGTACGCACCTCGGAAGATGACTTCGGCGAATGGTGGGAGATGCACGCGGATGGAGCCGCCAGTCGACAACATTGCGGGGGCGGAGTCATGCTAATCACACCAGAAGGGTTCCGACTATATTACGCGCTGAGCTATTCGTTCCCAACGACCAACAACGAGGCCGAATATGAGGCAGTGTTGAACGGTCTTCGACTCGTCAAGGCACTGGGAGTAGAACGATTGCGGATCAAAACTCACTCTAGATTGATAGTAAGGCAGATCTCAGGCACGTGTGAGGCTAAGAACGCCCGGATGACCCTTTACAAGGAGAAGGCGGTGGAGATGTTAAAGAAGTTCAGGGCCTACGAAATAGAATATATCTCTCGGACAGACAATGTGGAGGCCGACATACTGTCCAAGATCGCATTGGAAGGAGTGCCGGATCACCTCATTAAGATTTGCGAAAAGGAAGAGCTGAGTCGGCCGAGTATCGAGGAGACGCCGTCGGAAGTCCAGCAGGTGACTCACGCAGAGTGGGATCGGGGGAAGAACCCCGAGATGTTTTGGATCGAGGATATCTGACGGTTTAAGGAGACGGGCGAATTGCCCGAAGACCCAGGAGTCGCCGCCAGGGTTCGACGGAAAGCCCCTTCGTTCCAAATCCTTGATGGGCAGCTATACAAGTGATCATTCGGTGGTCCTCTTCTGAAATGTCTGCTTAGGCCCGAGGCCGAGAAGATAATGGATGAAGCCCATAGAGGCATCTGCGCCGCCCACAAGGCGCCCACACACTCGCTCTAAAGCTAGTCGTCCAAGGATACTATTGGCCGACCATGATGCGGGATTGCATCGAGTGGATAGCAAAGTGTGGCGTGTGCCAAGCCTTTGCCAGGAAGGATACGCGGCCGGCCACCTTCTACACCCCGGTCACCACGGCCATTCCCTTTTCTAAATGGGGAATCAACTTATTGGGACCGTTACCAGTCGCCCCGGGAAGCTTGAAATTCTGCGTAGTGGCTATCGATTACTTCACCAAGTGGATCGAGGCCGAGCCTCTAGCTACCATCACCGAATATCAATGTCGACGCTTCCTATCGAAAAAGGTGACTTTCCATTTTGGCCTGCCCGAGCATATCGTTAGCGACAACGATCGACAGTTCGATTGCCAAGCGTTCGCCGACTTTTGTCGTCGACACGACATCCGTCACACCAAGGTATCTGTGGCATACCCCCAGGCCAATGGACAAGTCGAGAACGCGAATCGAACTATAGTGGACGGGATCCGAAAGAAGTTGGAAGACATCCGAGGGAATTGGGCGGATGAGCTTGACCGAGTCCTATGGGCTAATCGTACTACGCTACGACGAGCGACCGGCGAGAGCCCGTTTTCCCTAGCATAGGGCTTCGAGGCCAAGGTTCCGATAGAAGTCGTAGAGCCCACTCATCGAGTCCGCAGTTACTCCGATGAAGAGAACGAAGAGAACCTCCGAATTGAGAAGAATTTCCTAGAAGAAAGAAGGGAAGCCGCAGGCGCCCGGATGGTCGAGTACCAACAAGCCGTGAAAAGGTATCGTGATCGGAGGATTCGCCCGCGAACCTTCCAAGTCGGGGACCCGGGTTGCGAGACCGGCAGGCGAGCCAACCCAAGGAGGGGGGAAAGTTCGCAGTCAAATGGGAAGGACTGTACCGTATTGCCGCGGTGGTCCAAGCCGGCACTTAGAAGCATGAAACCTTGGAGGGCAGACCCGTAGACCGGATTTGGAACGTCATCCATTTGAAGAAATTCTACCAGTAGAAAGAGGTTAGCCATGTACAAGCACCTAAGTTTCGAAACTTGAATAAAAGGGCACGAATTACTGCCAAATACTGCTGGACTCGGCGAGAGAGATAGGGAACAAGGACCCAGACCCTTAGTCGTTTCCGTGAAAAAGCCAAAAGGAGTCGCCTCTACTGAGGGACTCGGCGAGTATATAAAGAAACAACGGGGCACTGACCCTAAACTGTTTCTAAGAGAAGAAAAAGCCTAAGGAGTCACCTCGACTGAGGGACTCGGCGAGAGAGATAGGGAACACGGGCCCAGAACCTTAGTCGTTTTCGTGAAAAAGCCAAAAGGAGTCGCCTCGACTAAGGGGCTCGGCGAGTATATAAAGACACAACGGGTCACTGACCCTAAACTGTTTCTAAGAGAAGAAAAAGCCTAAGGAGTCGCCTCGACTAAGGGACTCGGCGAGAGAGATAGGGAACAAGGGCCCAGACCCTTAGTCGTTTCCGTGAAAAAGCCAAAAGGAGTCGCCTCGACCGAGGGGCTCGGCGAGTATATAAAGAAACAACGGGGCGCTGACCCTAAACTGTTTCTAAGAGAAGAAAAAGCCTAAGGAGTCGCCTCGACTGAGGGACTCGGCGAGAGAGATAGGGAACAAGGGCCCAGACCCTTAGTCGTTTCCGTGAAAAAGCCAAAAGGAGTCGCCTCGACTGAGGGACTCGGCGAGTATATAAAGAAGCAACGGGGCACTGACCCTAAACTGTTTCTAAGAGAAGAAAAAGCCTAAGGAGTCGCCTCGACTGGGGGACTCGGCGAGAGAGATAGGGAACAAGGGCCCAGACCCTTAGTTGTTTCCGTAAAAAAGCCAAAAGGAGTCGCCTCGACTGAGGGACTCGGCGAGTATATAAAGAAGCAACGGGGCACTGACCCTAAAC